ACACGAATAGAATATACGAACCACCACAGATTTCGGCACTCCGCCCTTGAATTACGCGACTTATAGCGGGTCCAAGACCATGCCGAACTACCTACACACAAATAATAAACACACACGCACGCAGGTTGTTGAGCGAACAATGGACTTACAGCATGGGCCGGTAAACCTTTGCAACAACGTACGCAGCCCTTGTCTTACTGCCATTCACGTGTGGACCTACCTTCTGCTGCCAGTGGTCAGTCAGCATCTCTAACACACTCCAGCCCACGGTTCCGGAGCTAGAGCTCGCAGGGCACTCAGTAGCCCGGGCTTTCCGCGGCGGACGTATCTAAAATTTGAAAGCCGGGTTGGGTAACTAAAGTCCGTCCGTGATACTAATGACCGCATCTCGCACCAGCCATAGTTCAGGGTTTCCGGGCCAACCCGACGACCTAAAAAGGGTTAGCTCTCGTCGGCTAACTACAAAGACGACACGCGTCTTCCACGCACGCAGGTCCACTCGGGGACATCAACTCGGCACACATCATCGACTACCAGCACATAGGTGTCCAAAGCCCTATCTATCCGTGGCTGGTAGTTAAGCTGTCGTCACAGACCTATTCGAAAGGACCAGAGCATGGCCGGAGCTACTCGACTGACTGCGGGTGGCCAGCACCGTCTGACTGCGATCACCCGACTCGAATGCTCGGTATCTAATGTTCACCCCCGTCTTGCGGCATTATACGTTCCTTCGCGGGGCATTACTCTTCCGGCGGCATACGATTCCCTCGCTAAGACGCCCGGGGTCCTAACCACCTCCGAAACTATCTATGTCGCTCTTCAAATGACGTCCCGCGCCGACCACTTGAGGGACCGATAGCGGGCCTACCTATCTTTTTGAAACCGGGCTGGGTAACTAAGGTCCATCCGTGATACTGATGACCGCATCTCGCTCCAGTCATAGTTCAGGGCTTCCGGGCCAGCCCGGCAGCCTAAAATCTGCCCAGCCTCCGAGGCTGTTAATCCGAGACGGAACACCATCATCTCGCGGCGGCCCACCCGCCGATACACACCCCAGGCGACGGCCCACGTGACCTTAATTATCACCCAGGCCTACCCTGGGCCGGAACAATCGGGCCACTGGTCCCGTGTCCCGCTAGCCAGAGGTTAGACAGACTACAGCCCGTCGTCCCCTCCGAGCCAGGACACGAGGCTGACCGGGTAACATTTCTTGAAACCCTCCTCGGCGGTCTGTGCCCGACTCGCCTTCATCCTCACGTTTAATTTCGCGACTTATTGCACGCATCCAGGGCTTACTCAATCGAGGCCTAATATCTAGTGGGGTCTGTCCGAGTTTAGCTTCATTCAGGAAATCCGATTCCTCTACGTGTACAGTCTTCTTCCATTTCACTCGCTTCTCATCTCCCTCCTAACCCGTAGCCGCGTCGGTGGACTTTCCACGCACAGGGGCGTGACGTGCATCATCTATCTCCCCGGTTCCGCAATCCCTATTCATCAGATGATTATGCAATTGGACAGGTGCGACTTTGTATATGCGTGGTGCTTGTGTGCGGGACATTGGTGAATTGCTTAGGAGGTAGTACCAGGAATCCACTGGCACGGGTTATGTCAAGGGCACTTGGGATATGGTAAGGTAGGAAATGGGTTAGCCGCCTCAGCAGCACATGGAATTCAACCAGTGGAACCCACCAGTGTGAAATGCGTTCGGTTAGGTCCAGTATGCCTGCAGAATCTTTGTATTCGAACTGTTGAATGATTTGATGAGGAATTAGTACCAGGAATCCACTGGTACGGGCTATGTCAAGGAATTTCGGAATATGGTGACGTAGGAAATAGGTTAGCCGCCTCAGCAGCACTTGGAAGCAACCAGTGGAACCCACCAGTGTGAAATGCGTTCGGTTAGGTCCAGTGTGCGTGTAGAATCCTTGTGATTGGCCGTTTGATAATTTGATAAGGAAATAGTACCAGGAATCCACTGGTACGAGCCATGTCAAGGAACTTGGAATGTGGTATAGCAGGAAGTAGGTCAGCCGCCTTAGCAGCCCTCGGAAATCAACCAGTGGAACCCACCAGTATGAGACAAGTTGGGTTAGGTCCAGTGTGCGTACAGAATCCCTTTGTGTACTGTGTAAAATAAGCAGATAAAGAAAACTGATCGTTGTAAATTACTGTGACGAGCCAGACACCTTGAAAACGACCGCTTTCCCGACTGTGTGGCTGGCATATGGCCTGTTATGTTCTATCCTCCGGTCCCTGCCCTTCATCACTTGTCACACTCGTATCACGATATTTACAAGTCCCATTTATTTACATTCTCCCTGACACAACGCTTTTCATTCCTTTACATGCCAAATTTTACGAAACGTTCTGGGACCAGGCCGTCCATCAATTGGGACTCACACGCCGCGCGGTGCGGTACAAAGTCGCGTCGCCCGTCCCTTTCCAGACTCCCCACGGTGCATAATCCCCTCCGTCCGCCTTAATCACCACGGGGCGCCGGACGAGGGTCCACGTCGGCACGCGTCTCGCACCACGCGCACAGTTACATGATTGACCGAATCGAATTTGAACTTAAGCTACCTAGACTGAAAGTCCCAAGAATAAATTGAGCTAACTAAACTGAATGGCCTAAAATATTGCAGACGACACCTAAAAAGGGGAATATAATGTGGCTCACATAGCAGTAACGAGGGGGGGGGGGGTTACTTGAAGGATTTAGGGACTAGGTGCGCACCCGTGTTCACCGCGTGACCTTACTTGAGATGGAGTCGCTGACATGATGGTCGTGTCCGTCCAGCGCCCGGCCCGGCGGCCAGAGCCGCCGCCGGCGCCGTGACGCCAGCCGCTGGTGTCTCGTGGGCTGTCCGCGATGTCAGATGTCAGCCGAGAGCGAAGAGCGGCGTCGAATCAGTCGTCCGAGAGAGTGCCCGAGAGCCAGCTCCAGTTCCGTTTCATCAACTTATACTTTTGATGACGTCCTACTTCAGAGGGCCGGGCAGCATCTCCTTGTCCAATCTTCGTCCTCCATTCTCAGAAAGTGCGTTTGGCTCCGCCTTCAAACGTTCGTGATTTGCTGAAGTTCGGCACCCCCGGCTATGGCAGTCGCACCCCTTCACGCAGCGATCGGATGGAACTCGCCGCCGGCGATTTGCGCCGCCTGAGGCGCCAGGTGGCGGCCGGCTCTGCGCCCTCCTTTCTTGTTTTTAGTCCTGCGCTCCCCCCTGTTTTGAATGTCTCCGGCCAGGTGTCCTACTTCCATGGCGGTGACCGAGTTCCATTTCATCCTGTTTTCGTACAAACCGGGTCGGTCCCCGCTCCCCTTTCTTGTTTTGGTTCAAATCAGGGCCGGTCTGCGCTCCCCTCTCCTTGTTCTCTGGCGGGGTGCCGAGCGTGGGACAGAGTCTTGTTTTCCAAAGGCTACTGATTAATGGCTCGACACCGGCAGGATGGTGCGTTTCGGTATGCTATTTGTTGACTTCAGATCCGGGTTCTCATGAAGTGGGGTGGTCATCTATAGGGGACCCCTGTTTGTCAGAGCCGACTGCGCCGTCTGTGTGGACGCCGGCTGGGACGGAGATAGGGTATCACAGCCGATTTAGCCGGCTGACCGTGTCTGCGCGGCGCTTGCAGATGGCTATGTTTCAGCTTGTGACACAGCTTGCAATTCCGCATGAAAGATGAAAAAATGTAGCGCATCTGCGTTACACTCGTCTTACCCCACTCTCCCCTATCAATGCAGCTAATCGCGGGCGACGTTGCGAGCTGCGCTGGTCGGTGAAAGAAGCTGGCCGTGTTGCCCTGCCCATGTGACCACCCATGGGGTGGGGTAAGACGGGTTTTTGCAAGGTTTTGCAAAAATAACTGCAGTTTATTTGTTGAATCAGCTCTAAGTCTCATCTTCTCGCCAGTGGAAGTAAAATGTCTAAAAAAGGTTTTCACTCAGTTTACCGTTTCTATTCTAACCGGCCGAAAAATGACTGCAAAGTTAGGTAGGTATAAGGTGCCCGTAATACCCCACTTTCCCCTAAAACTACTTTTGGCGGTAACTTCTCTTGCACCATCCTACTTACCTACCTACGTTCTCAAACATAGGTAACATGGGCTACGAACATGAAACTTTGCATAGCTGCAAATGAATACCTAAGCAATGTTTGAGAAAGGTTTGGTGGTTGTAGCGCGTAAGACGACGTCACAATGACGTCATAAAGTTTTGTCGTTTTCCTATATGGACCGTTTCTGATGTCGCTGAAACTGTAAATGGACTTGACAGAACCTGCTGTTATTCTTAAACATCTAAGTACACTTCCAATTTGTTCCTGACCAATAATTGGTCCTTTATATTCGGTCTCATATATCGGATATATCGTGAGGAGACTGAGAGTCGCAAATCTATAATTTGATTTATGACGTCACTGTGACGTCATTTCAAATGAGATCGACACCAAATTTGGACACAACCTCGGCTAGGTACTCAGAAAGATGTGTGCGAAATTTCGCTTCTCTATCTATTTGCGTTGCGACGATATCGTCGCAGAAGTAAAGGGCGGGCACTACCTATATGCCCCCCCCCCCCCAGCGGCCGGCGGGTGGCGCGGAGACCCAGCGGCCGCCGGGCTAGAGACCATGATTTTCGGAATCAGCTTGCTGAGAAGGCTCTGTTAGCAAATTTTCAGTCAAATCGGGATGGCCCGGTCATGGATGGCAAAAAGCTTTAGAGGGGTCTTTCTCGAGAACGGTAAAAATTTCCACCCTAGAGACCATGATTTTCGGAATCAGCGTGCTGAGAAGGCTCTGTGAGCAAATTTTCAGCCAAATCGGGATGGCCCGGTCATGGATGGCAAAAACTTTAGAGGGTTCTATCTCGAGAACGGTAAAGATTCCCACCCTGGAGACCCCATAATTTTCGGAATCAGCTCGCTGCTGGACTCGCTGCTCACTGCTCGCTGCTAGTTTGACAGACGTCATTTCCACATATGGAATGTCACAGATGCGCTGGATTTGTGACCGGGGTTTATCCACTGACCTTTTGATCCAGGGTCTTGAAATGGTCACGTGACAATTCTCAGCTTCACGGCATGTAAATGTGGAGAATCATAGAGTTATCACGTGACTTATATGCCCTCCGGCGTCCTGTTTTCAGATTCCACCGTCTTGAGTGGTGTAAATTGTGTTATTTGACATATTCGCACGGTTTTGTCTGTTATTGTGTTGTTATATGCTATCATTTACGGCCTTGTTCCAAGTGGTTGTGCTTTAAGACCTATCAATTTTTATATTTACACTGAATAAGGTCAAGGTTTAATTTGAAATGGCCAGATTTCTTTCACCCAGTCTGAGAAGACATCCGGTTATCTCATGTCCGCTTAATTTCATGTCATGTCAATTCCCACGGCTGTCAAAGAGCATTACCAATGCTGCAAGTTTTTCATCTCAACCTACCAGACAGTTCGGGCTGTCAGCAAGGTGAGAAACTATATTGACATGATGCAATGCATGTTATTTTATAAGAAATGCCTAGCTTGAATTTTAATTTGTTTTCAATGTTTGAACATAAGAAAGAGATCGGCCTCTTACACCAAAATACCTAGCTAGGTAGAATCGGCAAAATACATACCTAGTAAATCTAGAACTACCTATGACTGTAACTTATCTTGCACCATCCTACCTACCTACCTAGGTAAATTTGAAGCTCACGTTTTTAGGATTTATTTTGATTGGCTGTTCGGCAACAAATTATTTGTGGGCACAAACAAACTGTAGTTGCAAAAACTAATAAATGCATATTGTTTTTATAAATTTATTTTTTGGTATCATGAAATCATTTTTCATTCATGTAAATACTGATTAAAGTTGCCTATTTATTAAATTATTAAAACAAATAAGCTTTGTTTCCATGGTAACGAGTGAGTCTTCAATGTGGCTGTTTTGTTACGAAGGTTTACTGCCTTGATAGGTACGGAGAAGCACCTCAGTGTACACTGTACCCAATACCCTTGGAGAATTTGCAGGTGTGTACCTACCCCAAAACCTAAATAACCCAAAACCTAAACCTAAACCTAACCATGCTTACTTAATGCTAAACAATCAGGTACCTACCTGTGGTGATTCAGAAACAATGCCTGAAGCTAGGCTTTTATTAGCAACATCTGAAACACAAGGCACGGAGTGTAAGACACACATTCGACATTCACCCTCTGTCAAAAAAGAACATAACTTCTCCCCAGCAAGTGCATAAAATGCACATGAACCCAAGCGTATGATCCTAAAGCAACGCAACGCACAGCATCATACCTCACACAACATCACGCATCATAGTCGTCCATCCACCGTGGCTTCCTTTTAACTCACGTCGACCTACGCAGATCAGTATTCTCAGTTTGTACACTGGTTGCCTCTTGCTGCCTCATAGCCCCATCGCGATCACAATGCGGACTTGGTCCCACCACAGCCTGCTCAGCCTCAGCAGGGCTCATCTCTGTCTCGACGCAACCACTCCCGGCATCGGACGAACCCAGTCCAACTCCACCATCGACCTCAGATCCAGCCTCACACGTCGGTTCCGCACCATCAGAACGCGCAACTGGAGCCAGATGCCGAAGAGAGACAGCAGGCACTCTACCGCTAGGTAGTCGAACTGCAGCGTATGTTGGAGTCACATGTACAAGCTCAACCTCATCCGCCAGCGGCTCGTACTTGCTGGCTCGATTGGTGCGCTTCAGCAGAACACGATCAGCATTGAGTAGCCACGTAGGGAGCGCCTGGCCCGATGCCGACCGGCGAGGGTATGAGAAGAAACGTTCGTGAGGAGTCTGATTCGTGGCGGTGCAGAGCAGCGAACGCACACTATGCAGCGCCAATGGAAGCACAGTCTCCCACTCTCGGAGGCTGCTGCCTTTGTCATGACATGCCAGGGTCACAGCCTTCCAAATCGTACCATTGTATCGCTCAGTCTGCCCATTACCTGGAGCTTTGTACGAGCTTTGGGCAATCCGGTTCATCGCGAGAAACTCCTTGTACCGCGCTGATGTGAAAGCGGCTCCACGATCGGAGTGCACGAACTCGGGATGGGGGCGTCGAAGTCTAGTTCCTACCAACCTGGCACTCCCATGCCTACGTCACCACGAGGACGCCCGAGGGCATTTACATGTTGAAGATAGGGAAATTGCCATAGTTTAGAGCCGCCTGAAGGGCAACCTTGAGATAGATGATCATGTAAATGTGTGCTAATATGATCATCAACATGTTATTTATCCAAATCCAGGGCCAGTTAATCGATAACCTGTCGCGTTTTCCAGTGGTGATGCGCTAACGTTCGTGGTTCTTGCAGCCAATAAGGGTGTTTCATAGTGCGATTCAGCCGCATTATCGACTTTAATGCCATAAACCGCCACGGAACATACGATTTGCAGCTCCCTGGCGTGATAGCTGCCAGTAGCGCTCCGGAGTCGGAGTCATGAAGTCGGTCGGAGTTGACAGTTCTGACCTGAGTCGTCGAGTCGGAGTCAGAGTAGATTTTAAAAGCCTGGAGTCTGAGTCAGTCACCGAAATTCGATCCCCTCCGCAGACCTTTCAGGGTTCCGTAGTCGGAGTTGTAGTCGGTTGGAGTCGACAGTTCTGACCAGAGTCAGTGTCAGAGTCGATTTTGAAAGCCAGAGTCGGAGTCGGAGTCACCAAAAAAACATTGCCTCCGCAGACCTGCTAGGGCTGTGGAGTCGTAGTCAGTTAGAGCCGACATTTGAAATCAGTCAGAGTTGATTTTTGAAAGTCTGAGTCAGAGTCGGAGTCATCAGGAAACCCATCGACGATCCGCAGTACCATGCAGTAAGGGCGCTGCCGATCGATGCCCCTGAATTGCCTATGAATTGAATGAATAGATGACAATTAATTAGGTTGGTACCTTCTATCATTCATCCCCTGCCACTTGGAGGACTTACTTTCAGTAGAAAAAGACGCATTATTTTGTTTGTTTATTTATTGACAAATATTTTTTGAGCAGTTAGGGATACAGACACAAAACACAATGATAGCACCTCGCTGGTGCAAAGTCATTGCTAGATAGATGTTGAAATGTGTTGCCATTGAAGAATCTACTGATTTTCCTGGCGGCTCTCGTTTTCAAGTAACTACTGGTCTTGTAAGATCTCTTGATTGCCTCACCGTCTGGCGTCTTCCCAGGTTTTCTGAAAGCTAATCAAACGTTACCATGGCTGCTCTTGATTGCATGGCGCTTGCTGGTTCTGGGTTCTAAATTGGTGGTTATTGCGTCTGATCATGTTGCTTCATGTTCTATCACATCACGTTAAATTTCTAATGGAACAGACACTTCTACCTTTTATTTCACTATTCACATCAAATTTCTGATGGAACAGACACTTCTACCTTTTATTTCACTATCAGTCGACTTGTATTTACCCCTGTGGCCTGCTCGCCCTTTTATTTCCACGCTAGAATCTACCAATTATTGAAAAAGCCTCGGATAAAAAAGCAAGAACAGTATGTCAAGTTAAATAATTGAGACGGTCCTAGAAAACCAGGAAAAAAAAAATCAAAAAAGCCTGTCCATCTCACTTCCCTCACTTCATAACAACCAGTATAACGCCTTTTGGGGCGATTAACGGAGCGAGCGAGAGGGTGGGCCTTGCACGTGCGAAATTGCGAGGGGGTACCTCCAACTGACTTGTGCACGGCGCCCTACTAACCGGTCTCTAGCGATGTGCCAAATTTGAGCACAATCGGCTCAGCCGTTCTCGAGATCTGGAAGCGGCACCCTGCACGTGCGCACGTGCAAAATGGGTCCCAACTGACTTGTGCACGGCACCCTACTAACTGCTCCGTAACCGTGTACCAAATTTGAGCGCAATCGGTCCAGCCGTTCTCGAGATCTGGAATCGACCCCTGCACGTGCGCACGTGCAGCAGCACCCCAACTCTGGCACATGGATATGCATTGCCTAGTGGGTGCCTACCTACATGCCAACTTTCAGCGCAATCGGCCCAGTAGTTACCGAGATATTGCAACTATTACAAAAGTGACACCTCTTCGTTTTGCACGTGGCACGTGCATAAGGGGTCACCCACATGCATCGGGAATAGTCCAATACTTGGTAGAAGGAATGAAGCTACCCTACAAAAATTACCGCATGTAAATCGGTCAAGTGGTTGCTGAGATATAAGCGTCGCAGAATCGTGACCACGGTCGGCCGGCCGGCCGGCCGGCCGCTCATACTCAGAAATTTCCGTTATTCTACTTAAGACTCCGCTCGCTTCGCTCGCTCCGTAAAAACCAGGCAGCAAAACATGCGAAAGAGTCCTTAGCAACGCCCTAGCAACGCATTTGTCTGAAGTGCGCAATATGTGTCACATCTGGAAAATTTAGTAGCTACTTGAGTATTCAACTAGAGTTGGACTATATCAGCTAGGCTTTTATATAAAAATAAGTGTTTGTTTATCGAATTTATAGCAACTGGTTGCTTAACTTCGAAATAATGATTTATTACAGAAAAAGCTTGTTTGCGACATATTTGTAAAGAAACAACGGAAATAACTTTGACTCATGCGCTATTCTAGTACATTTTTGGTAGAAAACTTCGTCCAACCTGGGCCCTGTTCATGAACCCTGCGGCCGCTGCGGCCGGCCGCAGGCTCTAAGCTCCGCCCATTTTTGAAACGTCATCACCCACTCGACCGTAGCAGCGTTCCATGAACAGCGTCTGCTGCCGAAATAATTTCCGACAATTGTTTACAACTGATGCACACCGCTAGATAATTTGTTTACAAAATCGTCTCCATGACAACACGGCTTGCGCCTATTTGACTTCAGTGCGCCAAGTTCAGTGCAATTAGTTTTCTTGCGGCTCGGCGGTCGCTGGATTGCGGCCGCAGAGATCGCAGCGGCCGCAGCAAGGTGACGTCATACATTCGTCATACTACATGAGCCCCGCCCCTTTTCGTGACGTAACAACCCGGCTGACCGCAGCGACCGCAGCGGCCGCAGCGACCGCCGGGGTTCATGAACAGGGCCCTTATGTTTTAGGGCCTTGGGAGTGCCGAACACTGTGAAAAGTGATGTCAGGCACTGAATGGCAGTCTCGGCAGACGTGTCCTTCACAGCAAACGCAAAGGGGAAACGCGAGAACTCGTCCACCACCACGAACAGATAAGCTCTCTCGGTACAAGACGGTAGTGGTCCTTTAAAATCTACACTTAAGCGTTCAAACACACGCGTGGCCTTGATCAGGGTACCCGACAACCGAACGAACGAGGGCTTGCAGATATTGCAAGTCCGACATTGCGATATAACAGTTCTGACATCATCCACTGAGAAAGGAATATTCTGACAGCGCAGGTAATGGCTCAAGCGAGTGACGCCAGGATGGCACATCTGATCGTGTAGGTAACGAATAACCTCTCGGGAGCCGCCCGAAACAGCTCCACATACCTGTCCGGCCCTGGACAGCATGTCTG